AATGCAACACACTCCACTTCCGAAATGGCAAGGAATATACCTATGTGATTCCTCGGCCTCTGTCGAACGGGGTGGTCCTCGGTGGAGTGAAGCAACAAGGCAACCTGTATGAAAATTCCCAAACCCTGGGTAACTCTCTTCAAGCTAATCTCATTTCAGGTCACCTGAAGTCGACATGAATATCGCGAGGGATGAAATTGCACGCGCGCATCGGTTAGCTCCAAAAATTGTTCCCGAACACCCAGCTGCAGATAAGGTGAGCTACATCATCGGAATCCGACCATCCCGAAAAGGAGGTTTCCGTCTCGACTCGGAGCGAAAGGGTAGCCGGGTGGTGCTATCAGCCTATGGGTTTGGGGGTGGTGGGTATGCCTTTTCATATGGGATTGCAGATGCGCTAGTCAAGATGGTGGAGAGAGCCGAGCGTGAAAATGTGATCTTGTAGAAAGAAGCAGGTTCTCTTTTTTTTTTTCTTCTTTTTTTCCCCTCTATCTCTTTTATGATTTGTACTCCATACAAAGTACATAAGTAGTCAAGACTAAAATTCCAGTACAATATACATTTGTACATATGTATCTGGTACACACAATAGAGCCGAGTTATCGCCGTTCCAAGGTTGCCCCTCATTGTATTTTTGGATGAAACGGAGGATTACGTCGAGATGTGTGTATATTATTAGAACAAGTAGTTAGTTATGTTAGTTTACTATGTTGTACATATGTACGTACGTACATGGGTTTATAGATAAATATACATCAGAAAAGAGAGGAGAGCATATAGATGGCGTACTCTAAGATATTTAGAGTAGGTATAATAGGTATAACACGTATATCACGTATAATAGTTTCAATAGTTTCAAATATTTTAATATATCTTGTTTTCTTCTGTTATCCACCTTGGCCTGGAATTACTGGAAAGCCGGCCATTTCTCCCGTCCACTCAACTTGTCTCGACCTCTTTGATTCTTCAGCTTTTCCTTCAAATCCCGGTTTCCAGAAGAATTCTTGGATTTATCATATCCTTATTCCTAAATCACTTCAAAATCTGAAAATCGGTTTGAATGACATCCTCACTTCCTCCCAGGCTGTTAGCAATATGCCTGTGGATCAGATGCTCCACCTGAGTATCGACTGTCCTATGAACAATGTCGCTATGGTGATCACTCCTCCGCCCGAGAGTGACTTGAATCTTGAGAACAAAGCCTTGGAACAGCCCATTGCGACTGGATCTCTAAGTCGTATCTATCGATTTACACCGTGAGAACCCCTTGAATCCTTGGAAGAATTCTTCCTTTAACCTCCGTAACCTCTGCAGTAAACCCACGCTCGTATTAGACGGCGCCCTACGAATCATCGAAGTGTCTAACAGTCATGTGGAAATCTTCAAGCGCCCACGAGACCAACTGTTGGCAACGAATGTCTACGATCTTCCCCTCTCCATCCTCCCGGCCCCCGATATCGCCTCCCTGAGTGGTGCCCTCGGCACTGCCATATCAACTCGCGAAGTGCAGGTCATCAAGCGTGTTCACGTGGAACAAATCGACACCCTTTTTTCACTCAGCGTGACACCCATCTTCGAAGATGATTCCCTGATCTACGTACTCCTCGAAGCCCAGCCGACCAAACACCAACGGAACAGGTCGAATTCCATGAGTGGACAAACCTATCTCAACGAAACTTACAAAATCTTGGTCGACACGGTGAGGGACTATGCTATTTTCATGCTGGACACGCGTGGTCATATTGGGACTTGGAATTCTGGCGCCGCTATTTTGAAGGGGTACACATCGTCCGAGATCATCGGCCAACATTTCTCCGTCTTTTACGGTCGCGATGACTGCAAAATGCAAAAGCCCGCCCGCGAGCTGGAGGTCTGTTTACAAGAAGGAAAAGTTGAGGATGAGGGCTGGCGTTACCGCAAGGATGGCACCCGGTTTTGGGCCAATGTCATGATCACCGCCATCTATCAGAATGGCAGCCATGTGGGATTCGCGAAAGTCACCCGCGACATGACTGAACGCCGCGCGACAGAGGCCCGATTGATTGACGCATTCGAGGAATCTGCTAAGATGAAGTCTGACTTCTTGGCCAACATGTCCCACGAATTGCGCACCCCAATGAACGGAATGCTCTTGGCTTTGACAATGCTACTGAGGACCGAATTGACTGATGACCAGCGGGAATTCGGGTGCATTCTTGAAGATTCAACTTCTGTCTTGCTGCAAGTCATTAACGATGTGCTAGATTATTCTAAGCTATCGTCCGGAACCTTCCCCCTGAACCCAGACGTTGTCAACATACCCAACGTGATCTCTGCCGTGGTTCGGAATTGTCAGTCGGCGCTCAAGCCTGGTGTCCAAATCATGGGCAGCGTTAGCGACGGGTTTCCTCCAAATCTCAAAGGTGACCCGCTGCGATTCCGCCAAGTTCTGCAAAATATGGTCACCAACGCAGTAAAGTTCACTGAGAGTGGTCACGTTCGTGTTCATGCCGCTTATACCATCGATGAAAAGGACCCTGATATGTATGTGATTTCCGCGCAGGTAGTGGACACTGGTATCGGCGTACCGGAAGATGCCACGAGTACCCTCTTCACCCCGTTCACGCGATTCGCGGACACGGCTGCAAAAAGATACCAGGGTACTGGCCTTGGTCTGTCGATATGCAAGAGCCTGGCTGAATTGATGGATGGGGCGGTTGGATTCCATGCCAACCCCGACGGTCCTGGCAGCGTGTTCTGGATGACAGCTAAGATGGCCCGCCTCACCTCGCCAGTGTCTCCAGTGAAGCAGAGGTTGCAACCGGGCACACCTGAGGCGTTTGATAATTCCGCCTCGCTCCAGAAGATTGCCCCACATAAACACATTCTTCTCGTCGAAGACAACAAGGTCAACCAACTTATTATGCTGAAACTTCTCAGTAGTCTGGGGTTCAAGCGTGTCGATGCTGCCTGGGATGGAGCGGAGGCAGTGCGTATGGTCAAGCAGAAGCCTTTGACCTATAATGTGATCCTGATGGATATTAGCATGCCCGTCATGGACGGATTGGCTGCCACAGAGCACATTCGACAGATGAAACTCGATGTGCCCATCCTCGCATTGACGGGCAATGCTCTTAAGGGAGATGCAGAGACGTATCTGGCCAAGGGGATGAACGATTACATAGCTAAGCCCTTGCACCGGCAGCAGCTGGTGGATTTATTATGGAAATGGTGCGGATCCTGAGTGGTTGCTCATCCCTAACCGAGGGGGCTGTGCTCCCGAATACCACATCGTCAGTTTGAAGCCGTCTTTCGATGCGATCAAGGCACGGCAGTTGAAACAGACCCGTGTCAGCGTCATGGGCGAGAGACTGGGCGGTCGAATCGTCAGGTTGAGAATTTCCAACCACAGTCCCTCATCGATGCGGCAGAAGTGCCGTCATTTCCACCTGAACCTTTCCAACAAAATCCGCCAAACGGACCTCGAAACCACATTTTTGTAATGTTTTGATTTATGGGACTCTCAAAGACTTATTTCACATTTGAGATCTCCCTATCTCCGTTCTCCGCTAATCATCCGCACCCGAATACCGACGGCAATGCCATCCGACATGATCAAGTTCTGCGCACATGAGATGCGCCAAGAGCTATAATTTTTTTGCTCGTATGACTCATGCCTGGAGAAGGCACATGCCACTGTGCTTCTGCTACCGACGTTGCAATCATGCAGCCTTGGGTGGTCTTCTGTATCAGCTCTTTAATACCACTCATGAGATCATCCCCCGTAGTGGGTGGATGACAGTTGCGATGCAAGACTCGATGCAAGAATCGTCCCCCGTAGTGTTCATGGCGTTGGAATAATAGCAACTAACTCTTTTCATCGTAAATTGAAAGTATGCAGAGTGCATCACACTGGGCTTTGACCATTTCCCCACCTGGGCAAGTATCCCCCACAATTCCGCTGTCTGAATTGAAATCCCAAGGAAAGACAATGCTTTAACATTAACAGTTCAGCTCTAAGCCTGGGCTTGATCTCAAGCCAATTCACTTTTTCTATTCCTGTTTTCCCCAGCACTTCAGAATGTATAACTTCTTCATCCAACAAAAATACGGGAAGTGTGTAGGGGAAATCAGGATCGTTGAGCTCATTTCGGCATCAAATCACAACGAGAAGAACCTTTGATTATGATTCGACAGAAGTGTTTTTTTCTCTCTCAAGAAATACTCTCTCCAAATTTCCACCAGACAGTCCTCGACGTCTAGTGGCTCAAGCCTTCTGCATTGAATCATCCGATGGTTGCATTTTCATCGCCTAGTTGCGAGTCCATCTTTCAGGGGTAGTCTTCTCCCGAGGTACAACGTTGACGATCTTTTCATTTTCGCATGAGGTCATGCCCGTTCTTCCGATGCAGCCTTTTGTTATCTCGGACTGTAATTGCTGAGATCCCGTTCGGAGGTTCGACACCAATGACCCGTGGACTCCGACGGACGACAAAGGTACATGTTTCGAAATGTCTTGAATTTCGTTTACTTGATGGGTGCTAATAACGCCATTTTTTCGAAAAGTCACCGAAGAACGCAACCCCATTAGAGAAGAGTTATACTCTCCGTGTCAATGATCTTCATATTGACCCCGTGTGACCTGCCTTAAAACTTCCGATGGGTATCGATTGGGGTTGATCTTGTAAATGAATGGCTCCAAGGAACTTCATCCCGATATTCAACCATCGCTGAGGAGTTCATAGGCTCAGATAATTCCATGAGAAGCAAGATAAGCTCTGTCCTTAACCCGTTTGATTTGCCAGGGGTCTTAGCATCATTGATCGACTGGCTGTCTTTCCTCTTGGGTGATCTTAGCCTAATCAAATCAATGATGGTCGACCCTGAAAGTTCCATCCAGGCTCACCCTGCAGGACGGGAGATGCTATAAAGTATGCCTTGTCCGCCGTGCGTCTTTCTGACTTCATTCGCAAGTTTGAAGGAGGAAGCTGAATTGGAAAACTATTGCGAAGACTATTACCATGAAATCCTTCATCATGCTTTGTGCCCTAGCGGCTAGTGCGATGGGAGTACCGACGGCTCATAAATATCAATTGCATGAGCGTCGTGATTTCATCCCAAAATCCTGGGTTGAAGGCAAGGAGCTCGATGGAAATGTGTTACTACCTGTGAGAATCGGGTTGACCCAGTCTAACCTAGACTATGGCCATGAGCTACTTATGGATTTGTATGAACTCGCGCAATGGACGCCCAACCGTCTGGAACTGACATGGATTTGTCTAGGTCTAACCCCTACTCGAGGCGCTACGGACAGCATCTGTCCACCGATGAAGTGCACGACCTGTTTGCTCCCACTGAAAAGAGCGTGAATGATGTCCGTTCTTGGTTGGAGTCGGCCGGTATTGCAAAAGACCGCATCACGCAGTCAACGAACAAGCAATGGATTCAGTTTGACGCCAATACCGAGGAGCTCGAGAATTTGCTGCACACAAAGTACTATGTCTACTCACATGCTGAAACGGGTCGATCTCACGTGGCCTGTCGCGAGTAAGGCTGTCATTTGGGTTGGATATACAGTTTCGCTGATCTCTGACCACAGATATCATCTCCCGAACTCTGTACGTGAGCACGTCGACTATATCACTCCTGGAATTTCTCTGCGGGAGGTGACTGGCGTCCGGAGATCGGCCGACAAACAGAAACGCTTTGTGGGTGGGGTTTCTCCTATCCTTGAGCCGATTCTCCTACCAATTGAGAAGCTGCTGAGTGAGGTTTCGTCCTTTTGCTCTCAAGCAATTACACCCCAATGCATTCAACGTGAGTGGTCCGAGTACAAATACCCCCCACACTGAATATGCTGACAAGTCTATAGAGATGTACAACATCAGCGAGGGCCACTCTGCCACCAAAGGAAATGAGCTGGGAATCTTCGAAAGCATTGGGGATGTCTACGCCCAAGAAGATTTAAATTTGTTCTTCCTGAACTTGTACTCGTATGTCGCCTCTGAATCATATTTCGTCGAGTTGATTGGAGTTTTGAGTTGACTTGCCTTTAGGAAAATCCCTCACGGTACACACCCAGCTCTCAAGTCAGTTGATGGCGGTAAGGCTCCTACAGACCTTTCCAATGCTGGGGCTGAATCCGATCTGGACTTCCAAATCTCCTACCCCATCATCTGGCCACAGAACTCCATCCTTTTCCAAACCGATGATATGAATTACGAGAATAACTACACCTTCAGTGGCTTCCTCAACACTTTCTTGGATGCTATTGATGGCTCGTATTGCAGTACCATCTCGCCTTTGGACCCTCCATACCCCGATCCGGCAGACGGAGGCTACAAGGGCTCCCTACAATGTGGCGTGTACGACCCACCCAAGGTCATCTCGATTTCCTACGGCTCCGCTGAAGCAGATCTCCCCATTTCCTACCAGCGACGACAATGCGCTGAGTTTATGAAGCTGGGTACAATGGGAGTTTCAGTGGTGGTCGCTTCGGGTGATTCGGGTGTGGCTGGACGTGGAGGTGACCCAACCCCCAGCAACTGTCTTGGCCCAAATGGCAGAATCTTTGCTCCAGATTTCCCTGCCTCCTGCCCATACCTTACTGCGGTGGGAGCTACTGAAATCCCCACGGGTTCCTCGCCAGGAGATCACAAGGAGCAAGCCGTGACTAGGTTCCCGTCAGGCGGTGGTTTTAGCAACATTTACAAGGCGCCTGATTATCAGGCCCAGGCTGTTGCCGATTACTTTGACAAGGCCAAGCTCTCATACCCATACTATGAGAGCGTGGACAACAGCAGCTTCGGTGAGAATAACGGTATCTACAACCGGATCGGACGTGCTTATCCAGATGTTTCTGCTGTTGGGGACAAAGTCGTCATCTATAACACAGGAAAGGCCGTGTCGATTGGTGGGACATCGGCCTCTGCACCTGTATTTGCTGGAATCCTCACTCGCATCAACGAGGAGCGACTGGCCGCTGGCAGGTCCACTGTTGGATTTGTCAACCCTGTGTTGTACGCTCACCCGGAGGCGTTCTTTGACGTGACCAAGGGGTCAAATGAAGGTTGCAAGACTGATGGCTTCCCTGCGACCGAGGGTTGGGATCCAGTGACTGGATTGGGTACCCCTAATTATCCAGAACTTTTGAGGGTTTTCATGGGCCAGTAGACTAGTTTAACATAGGGCGATCTCGCTTTTGTGGACACAGCTCAGAACAATGAAGACTGGAAATTCGCTGCGATTCGATGCAAGTTCTTTTAAAAGGCAAAAGGAACCATGATCATCATCATGATAACACCGGACCACCGTATTGCACCATTCTCGGCACAGCGATCGCACCGACAAAGCCGATCCCTTGCTGGGCTCAATGGATTCAATGCCCAACGACGTGTCTCATAGCATATGCAAAATAAATACCACATCGTTTTAGGAAATGATAGCCAAAAGAGTAAAACCATGATTGAACATCCAGAATGACATCATGAATTACCCCGCGTAGAGGGGGAGAGGGGGGTTAGGGATCTATGTCGCATGGTGTATACCTAGACTCTCCTTACAACATATATACCTGCAATGTTGGTAGTTATATAAAATAGAGTAGTAAACTTAATCATATATAATGCCTTATATTTGGAATACGAGTAGATATATTAGTAACTTGCGAATTGTGAATGTACATTAGTATAAATGACTTTCTTTTTACTTTATATATCCAACTTGCAGGAATGTTGTTCACCTTCTCGGTGGAGTCTACTCCGAGAGGGGCGTGGGTTGGACAGCCCAGAACCCCCCTCCCCCACCACCGGAGAGCTGAGCAGTTAAAGGTTGGGGAATCTCCATATATCTTTCCTCTTTTCCCTTCCAATCATTCTTCAATCTCTTAAAATCATGTCTCTCGGTAAGAAAGTCACACTCAACTCCGGCCACCAGATCCCGTACGTATATTCCGTAGAAAGAACACCCAGAGACTTCATCACTGACCTTAAGTTCAGCCAGCTGGGCTTTGGTACTTGGCAGTCTGCCCCTGGCCAGGTTGGCGAGGCTGTCTACGAGGCCCTGAAGGCCGGTTACCGTCACCTGGTATGTTCATGTACTTCTATCATCTCTCCAAACTGGTCGCTAACCCCCAACCCCTCTCAGGATTTGGCCACTATGTATGCAACACCAATCCCTTGATCGCGAGACGCCGCCTATTGAAATTGCGCTATACTTACCACCTGTTCACAGCTACCAGAACCAGCGTGAGGTCGCCGAGGGCATCAAGCGTGCTTATAAAGATGTTCCCGGCCTGAAGCGCGAGGATCTCTTTATTGTAAGTTCATCCATACCAACTTAGGATGGTACACGATTTGAGCAACTGACATGCTATTCTACAGACGTCCAAGCTGTGGAACAGGTACAATATCCCAAACTAGACTGCCACTCTACAAAGTTATTGACTCTGCATGTAGCCAGCACCGCCCGGAGGTTGTCGAGGCCTCTTTAGATGCTTGCCTTGCTGAACTTGAGTTGGATTATCTTGACGTATGATTGTTTCATTCATTAAAACTGTGAGATATTGCTAACAGACCAAGCTTTACCTTGTTCACTGGCCCGTTGCCTTCCAGAAGGGCGATTCCTACTTCCCACTCGTTGCCAACAGCATTGTCGAGGGCGGTGATGTGATAATTGATGATGGCGTCTCTATTGTAGACACCTGGAAGGGTAAGTGGATATATTGTGCGAATGGGAACACTAGACATAGCTAACCCCTCTTAGCCATGACCCAGCTCCCCAAGAGCAAGGCTCGCTCCGTCGGTGTCTCTAACCACAAGATTGAGCATGTTCGTATCCTCCCCGTCTCAGAATTCGCCAAACATGAGCTAACAAGCCCCTGCAGCTCGAGGCTCTCATTAATGGCACAGGCGTTGTCCCTGCCGCCAACCAGATCGAGCGCCACCCCGTGCTCCAGAGCAATGACCTGATTGAGTACTGCCAACAGAAGGGGATCCACATCACTGCTTACTCTGTACGCATCTATTCTAATTTTTTGGTTGATGGCGGAGAGACCCCATGCTGACTAGAGCTCTAGGCATTTGGTAACAACATGCTTGATATTCCCCTGCTCATCACCCGCCCCGAGGTTAAGGAGGTTGCCGAGTCTGTTGCAAAGCGCACCGGCCAGGAAGTCAGCCCCGCACACGTTATGTAAGATTATACATGCCTTTCCTATGGGATCTTCCCGTGAAAGCTAACAGCCTTCAAGTCTCGCCTGGTCTCAGGTCGGTGGACACAGTGTCATCCCCAAGTCGGTGACGCCTTCGCGTATTCGTGACAACTTCAAGGAGGTAGAACTCATCCCCGAGGAGGTTCAGAAGGTCAGCGTTCTGGGCCAGGAGCGGAAGCGCTACAACACCCCTTATGCTGCCAACAAGCCTCGTTGGAACATTGATATCTTCGGCGAGCCCGAGGAGAAGGCCGCTGACCACAAGGTTATTCTGAGCGTTTGACTTCGTTGATCACCCCAGGCCCCCACTGATTGAATGGGATATAGATATCTGTATGTTCTATAGAGTGTCAACAGGTTTGCACCAGTGTGGATATATCTAGATAACTTTCTCAATAATCAACTGATCAATATCATTTTGTATACGATCACACGCCCATGCAGATACAAGATTGTAGGCCAGATTCACTTGGCCATAATCAGTTGCACTCTTGAGATTCGAAAATGACCGTAAGAATCATTCAGCATTAACCAGAGGGTCCAAGGGTATATGCATGTTTGCAAAAAGCGACCTGTCATACTGCTTACACCATCTTACAGCTGTTCAGATTATCGCCAAGATCATCTCTGCTCTTCAACCCATGAGAATCGCCTTAGTTTGCGTTTATTGGTCGTTGGTGAGAGCTCAAGACTGGCCCTGCGTCCAACTCGTGATATTCCTGGACTGGAGTGGATCCATTCGGGGCCTCATAGACTGAGCGACCATCCAAGAAAATCGCTGACCCTACTGGCTTCCGTGGCAAGAGAGTCTGCGGTTCTTCTGAATGCAATGTGTCTTCTTGAGGTGAGATACTGCCTTGAGAAATGAGGGCTTTTTCATCATGTGCCACGACAACTGATGGAGTTGATGAAGGTGGAATAGTTGATTGGACTCCTCGAGTGTTCTGTCTCTGGTGCCGCCGCCGAAGCACAAACCATAGGGTCAACACAATGAGAAGGACAACCACAATTACACCCACTGCAATTCCACCCTTGGCCCCTGGACTTAGGCCAGACGAGCCACTAGAGCATGTATAACCGTTTTTGAAGACTTTGTCGGAGTTCAAACTGTCCAATATACTGCATGACATGGAACTGCGGCCTATGATTGTTGTCCGACCTTTGACCTGATCAAGAGAAGGCAGCGAGACACTGGAATACTCATCAGTATCTTAGAAGATGGGACCTAATGACTGCTGCAATGACCATACCTATCGAACAATCCCTCCAATTCCAACTGTCCTTCAACCTTTTCCAAATTCTGGAACCCCAGTGTTTTCAGCTTCGGATTCCCCGTGATGATTATGCTCGAAGAAACTTGTGATAGCGCGCCCATGGTTATGGTTGTGAGTGAGTCAAGGTTACTCAGTGTGATACCTCCCTGCACACTGTCCAAATCAGAGGCAAAAAAATTTGTGAGCTCCGAGGCACCCTCGGCAATTAATGCGCCCTTGATTTCCTCGACATTATTGATAGTGATCACTCCGCTGGTAGAAGCGGATATCGTAATGCTTCCGTCAAATGTGTCGCAGCTGCTCAGCTTGTCCGCATCGCTTTGACTCGAGATGGTCACACTGCTTGAACCTATAGGCAATGAGCTACACAGTTGGCAAGGCAAACGAGCAATGTATTACTTACAGGCATCAGACTTAGCGGTCGCTCTTTGCCATGCACTAGCAATCATCATTACGGGTGAGCTTTGCAAAGCCCCAGTTACTTATTCGAGAGGAGAAATTCTGAATGATGTTTGCGTGAAGGTACTGGGCATTCGCAGTTTTTAAAGTCAATAATATGGAAGGAGGCGGAGTCGAAAATTTCCAGCCTTGGCCGATTGTACTTTGTATGTCGATTGAGCATCAAGAATGTCGATCATCGCGGTCTGTTTATAGTGTTTGATTGGTCAACGTTGGATGTTTTGGTTGGCGATACATATTCGAAACCTACGGCCCACTGGCAGATCGATCGCTCTGCCTGTGCAATTTCCCAATCCAAGACACGGACTGGGAGATAACATGCGTGAGGTTAGTCTGCACAAATAATACTTACTGCACCTGCCATGGATTGATGGCCGTTAAATATTGACACGGAAGCCGTGCTGCTATTTTTGTGTACAGAGTAATGTATTACTTCAATCCCTGCTCTGCTATTTCGTACGGAGTGGTGGTGTTGAATGGGGGATAGGCAACAGTATTGGCGGCCCTTGGCGGCCTCGGTCTGGTTCAAAATTCCCACGTGAACTGGCATAACTGAAACCCTGGAGAAATCCAAATAAAAAAAAGAAGTCATGTAGAATAATATTGTAATATCAAACACCTTTGAAGACATTGACTTAGAATGTCAACATCCATTTTTATGCCCGAGGTCCTTGGTACCGCCGGGAGTGGCCAACCATGGACGTCGCAAACTTTCTTGGAATTTCCCCAAAAGATGACTCAGCATATGCGGGGAACCCTTCCCTGGAATCATATTGGGAGGTTCTACACAAATCTCGATAACAGCCATATTGAGCTGATATCTCTATGAGAGTAGGCAAGGGTTGTGGAAGGTGTCGTCATCGACATATCCGATGTGTGATTCCCACCGGTGCATCAACTTGTACTCCGTGTTTGCGACTTGGACGGGCCTGTCATCTTGATCCCCGCTTCCAATTCAAGCCTGTCCACCACGTTTACCAGAAGAACAATGGTGCCACTGCCCGATTTGAGCTGGATTGGGACGAAGAACAAGTTTGGGTAGACGTGTCACAGCCCGGTAGGAGTCCAGAGCCTATTATTTTGATCATGCACTGATCTAGTCTAGTGACTTTCATCCTTGAGGCGAATGGTGAATCGGCTGAAGACGAACATAGTGCTTTAGAGCAATACAATGCGTCAGCACCCGAATCGGTTGGAGAGGAACATAGTGCTTTGGGACAGTACACTCCAGGACCGGAGCGGGTATCAAATGGTCGCAGTGGATGGACTCAAGGTCTTCACTCGGAGAACACATCTCAGGCTCAATCTCGCAACCCAGTTTATCAGAATCGATCCCATCAGGTCCCTACAAACAGTCCACTCAGCCTGCTGTCAGGCAATGGATCTACACTGACACTACGAGAGGCATCGCTGATGCGCTACTTTATCCAAAAATTAGCACCCTGGGTGAGCCACAAGCGGGTCTCTGGTTAGCGTTACATATCTGATCTTTATAGGCCGATGTTTGTGACATTCATTCACATTTCAGCACCGAAGTCCCAAGACGGGCATTGGAGAATAACATGGTACTGCAAGCTATCCTGGCCCTATCTGCGCGACATGATGCGATCTTGACAAATGATAGTGACTGGGAGGCCTCGGATTATCACGGAAAATGTTTGAAATTATTAATTGCGGCATTAGATCAAGCCGAGACAAATTGCGACGAGAACATGCTTATCACGGTCGTGATTCTTCGTATATATGAGGAGTTGGAGACTAACACTGACCAACAGTATCACCTGCTTGGGTCTAATCGCTTGGTGAATCTCATGGCCCGCTCTGCTTCCTCTGGCGGAGTGGCAGAAGCAGTGAGCTGGCAGTTTTTGCGGCAAGCTATCTATGCATCGGTAGTACAGTATCAACCTTTACAACTCGACATGCAGAATTATGAGCGCTCGTCAATGTTTCACCGCCACGATGATGCTGCTTGTGCCAATAGGATCATCTATCATTGTGCTCGTATCCTACAAGTATGCTGCGATGCGCCCGGACATATTGTGGCACAAGATACCTGGCGCCAAATATCAGACAGCGTGAACGAGTGGAATCAAACAAAGTCCACAACCTGGCAACCTATTCGGTATCAAGCATCGAGCGTGGCTGACGGTCGGCCTTTCCCTGTTATATGGATGATATCCCCGCCGGCAGGTATGTCTTCAGTCCCAATGACGACGCAGCCTAAAGTTACTGACCGCAACCAAAGTGGTCGGAATGCAGTATTATCACTCGGCGTGTATTTTCCTCACCTTGTCTGAATCTCCCTCGCATGATATGAGCGATTATGAAAGGGCCCGCTCAAGGCGTGTGCAGGAGGTAGCCAAAGCAGAGCTCTAAGCGACTATATTTGCAGGCTGATACAAATCTTAGACAATAATTGCAGGCCACCTTGTCGTAGTTATTGGCCTATCGCTGTCCAACGAAAGCGTCGAGAATGCCTACTTCATGGCATCACATTTATTACATCGCTGTTCGTGTGCGCTCCATATTTGTCGACCTTCTTGCCCGCTGACCTGTCCTTAGTTGGGTACTGTCTCCGGAATGTAGCCGAGCAGGAAGGATCATTGCAATTTTTGACTCGCGTAGAAAAAGTGCTGGGGTGGCGCACTTCATGGATAATGCGGGAGCTGGAGCACCAATGGACCGAGTTGGGTGCGTTTGACTCGTGAGACCTTTGAAAGTTTCTAGTTCTTTCCGATGGCAATATTGCTTAGCCTCACCTTGGAATTACGAACATTATCCGAAGCTGGAGGGCCTCTGATAACCGAAGAGACCGCATTCATTCTTCCCGATGCGGGTGAGGTCTCGATAAAAGCCAAGGCATATTTTATTTGCCTCTTAGATCACATTGCTGGGGTGTGCGGCATGGGCCGATCTTTGTATGTCTTTCTGACCACTCATCGGTGGAGCATGGCCTGGGGTTCACGATGCTGCATCAGATAGACTTGAAAGTAAATGCTCATGGCTGACTCAAACTCATGCACCTGGTTCTTCTGCTGTCCTGAAACTCCAAGAGGAAGTGGGGTTTGTGGGACTTGGGAAATCATGAATTCACTGATAGCGCTTGGACAGCAAGGAAAGACCCGACTGACGACTGACAGGTTGCGAAAGCTAGGGGACCACCCCTCATAGTGATAGCAGCACCTGGCGTACGCTTGATCCCGCCTTCATGGAAAGGGCTTTCGATAGTAGAAAATATTTTAACTTTAGCCGGTGAGTTGTATTAATGCAAAGATCAGACCAAGATGACGATGGAAAACGGTGCTGGGGGAAGTGGCGTTTGACACGAGACTGATGGCAAGCCAACATACTTAAGTGTCTTTTGGAGGCTTGTCGATCCACACGTGGCTCGGGTGATAATGCGATAGATTTAGAAGAACAATAACTATTGTAATAGAGCTCTCTGAGCTAGAACAAATCCCCTGTAGGGCCAAGAGATTTCCGTTGATCAAGCTAAATGAGATATATATGGCACCTCACTTTGGGACTTTGGGACTTTGGGACTACGTATATTGAGCTTCTGTTGACTAGGTTGCTGGTGCTATGATTCAAGACATGATGAGAATCTCCGGGATAACTACTACAGACTCAAATAAGACTTGGGGAATACATATGTGGATATTAATTTTCATGACGATCAGTTAAGTAATTAAGTAATTTGCTTGACTCCTCTTGACTCCTTTCGTTTGCTCGGGATGATTGATGCGTTGGCTTCTCGCTTTAGCCTTGGATATAAATATCTTCTGCCTTTCGTTTTCGCTTTCGCTTTCTCTTCCTCTTCTCTCCGCATCTGCGACTTTCTCTATTCTTTGTTCTCTTTCATCTTTCCTCCAACATACAACAATAGTCATATACTGTTAGCAATGGAGATCGAATCCTGGGAAGTGCTTGTGCACAAGAAGCAACTTGAGGATGCTGCTAAAATCCCAAATGCATGGCGAATTTCAGAAGAACTGGCCAAGATATCCCAGACATCTGGCATGAATGTGCTGGATATTCCACGTCAGTCGGGTATCTTGTCAGCAAGACAGCTCGAGATCACTGAGAAATATGATGCAACTGACCTGCTCGCCAAGATTCATTGTCAAGAGCTGTCTGCCTATGAGGTCACTGAAGCATTTTGTATTCGCGCTGCGATCGCACAGCAAGTGGTATGTGTTGACATGACCTTCCTCTTGTCCGCCTTTCAAACCTTTAGTCACCGGCTTACAATGAATTAACTCACCCGTGGACAGACTCGATGCCTGACTGAGACCTTCTTTGAGCGTGCGTTGCAGCGAGCAAAGGATTTGGATGAGATATTATCCAAAACGGGGATACCTGTTGGGCCTTTGCATGGCTTGCCCATCAGTTTCAAGGTGCGACGCCAGTTTTGGACCGCGAATTTGGGTTCACTGATGTGATATAAAGGATTGCTTCAACATTGATGGTGTTCCATCCACGATTGGATTTACCTCGTTTATCAAAAATGGCCCTGTCAATTCAACCTCCCCTGCGGTTCAGATTTTGCTCAACCTGGGAGCCATCCCGTATGTGAAGACAAATGTTCCCCAAACAATGATGGTGAGTGACCTTACAATTATAAACGTGTCATAATTGCTTAAAGTACTAGGCCGCTGATTCGCACAATTACGTGTTCGGTCGGACCCTCAATCCTCATCGATCGAATCTTACCGCTGGTGGGTCGACTGGGGGAGAAGGGGCATTGATTGCCATGAGAGGGTCGGTGCTGGGCGTTGGTACAGACATTGCTGGCTCCATTCGAATCCCAGCGATTTGCAACGGGATCTACGCATTACGACCTTCTGCGGACCGTATTCCATATGGGGGACAGACTAGCTCTGCTCGCGGAGGCCTGGCGGGAATCAAGGCTTGCGCAGGGCCCTTGGCAACATCAGTCCGGGATTTAGAATTGTTCATGAGACTGGTGACTAACGCAGACCCATGGCAATTTGATTCTTCCGTTTTGTTTTCGCCATGGCGCACCGTTTCCTCCAAGTCCACCCTGCGACTCGGGTTCATCCAAGAGGATCCCCATTTCCCTCTGCATCCACCAGTTTTGCGAACTCTGATAAGCGCAACCGAAAAGCTTCAAGCAGCCGAGAATGAGATAGTTCCCTTAAATACTCTGCTTATTCGAGATGCATGTGCGTTGGCATTTCGCATGTTCTCAATGGACCCAGCTCGGACTCCATTCAAGCACATCGCTGCCAGTGGGGAACCAACCATCCCTGCTTTGGCATCAACGTCTCTGCAACATAGCTACATGCCATATGGATATGCGCCATTGACACTTGAAGGATTGTACGACCTCAACGAGGAGCGCAACCGTATCAAGGAAGAGTTCCGCAATCTCGTTATGCAGGCAAAAGTGGACGCCATTATCATGCCCGGCTATCAAGGTACCGCTCAACCTCATGATCTATTTGGCTTTGTGCCCTACACTGTCCTTTGGAATGTGATGGATGTAAGTTCACCTCTTTCCATCTCACGGTGTTGCACTAATTCTCTCAAGTACCCGAGTTGCATCATTCCACATGGCAAGGCGAACAAGAGCGCCGACAAGACATTCATTCGGAATGTGAACTACAAACCTCCCTGTAAGTGTTACGTTTTTCGCACACCATGATTGATGGGTTTAATGCTGATTTTGAATTTGAGATGTGGCTGATGACATCGAGGGGGCTCCATGCTGTGTGCAGCTTGTTGGTAGAAACATGCATGACGAGGAATTGGTGAAAGTGGCGGAGCTTGTATCCAAGACACTGGAGCTTTGAACCAACGACTGGTAGAATGGAGGTATTCTAATAAAGGAGATTCATGAATTGAAGAAATGCACATTCATATTGCGGAGTTTGCCTCAGAATTTCTGCTTAAAATGCCAACAATATTAGTTAATAACTCAGCTGTAGACTATTCAAAGATACAACTCTAACAAACCTTGAACCAGCAAGTAAGAAGAAACATTTAAATGCGCTTCTAGGGGCTGTTATGCCTATTATGCATAGGGGCATAGGGACAAATCCAATCTTACTTGACCCCTTCCGCGTGCAGGTGGCGCAAAGGGCAGCAGAAACAACGGACCTCAGATTATTATAGTAAGAGCCCAACGTGGAATAAAACCAACGGAGAATCTCTCAAACATTTTCTTTTCCTTGGCCATAGGTGCCTTCGGGATATTTGGCCGCGAGAATTTGTTGGAATGTCGTCACTCTGTTCATCAAAACCCCGCAAATCACTTTCCTGTCCCCAGGGATTTCCACCAACGGGAGAAATGGGTCTATCCCCCCCACATTGAGGTGCTATAAGTTCATATCAAATACATCCTTTGTGCATGGTTCTGGTCCCTATGACTCAAAGCTACTACATCTAGGAACTCAATAATGGGCAAGATCTTGAAACCAACCGGAGTGGCTCTCCTCAGTATCTTATCTTATGTTCAGGCATATCCTTCCATTACCATTGAGCACTCGCAAAAGACTCCATTCTTTGTTTTGGCGGGTGATAGCACCACGGCTACTCAATCCTCGAACGGTGGAGGATGGGGGGACGGCTTTCTCAACACAACCCTTTTTAAAGGAGCCTCTGGTCATAATTTTGGCCACAACGGTGCAACTACTGTTAGCTTTCGAGATGGAGGTGATTGGGATGAGGTTTTAGCGACCGTGAGAAAAGTACGAGACGACCACCATCCATTTGTGACAATCCAATTTGGACACAATGACCAAAAGCCAGCTGCAAACATTTCTTTATCACAATACACCAGAAATCTTGGAAGATTTGTGACTGAGGCTTCTGATGCTGGGGCTACACCAATTCTTGTCACTCCTCTGTCTCGGCGCAACTACGATAACTCAACAGGGACACCGCATATCGTCATGAGTCTCGCCAATGAGACCATGGCCACCATCAATGCTGCCCATCGCTCACATGCTGCCTATATTGATCTGAATGAAGCTAGCACTCGGTACCTCAATGAGATCGGGCCAGAAAACGCTTTTACATACAACCTCAAATCAACAGACTATACCCATTTGAACGTGCCGGGGAGTACTCTGTTTGGGGGGATTGTGGCTGAATTGATTGCCCAGAAATTTGACGCCTTGAAAGAATTTGGATATCTGCGTGTGGATGGTAAACTCAAGAACGATATTGATTCTGGGATTTATTACTGGCCTTAACTCAGCCAAGGATTGTGATCACGGAGAAGCACTTGTACTCCCAGAAACTAAGTGATTGTTTCGATATCAAAGACTCCGTTCCATGCTTATAGTCATGTTGGTTCAAAGCCTAGCCTACAAGTAGGTGTCCATAGTCCCATAAATCTGTTCAAATTAATATTCGACAGCTTCCGTGTACCCTTATTAAACTCCAGATAAACAATAGATGGCTACTTCTCCTCCTCATGAGCATGCTTCTGAAGGAACAAAGCTTTCATCGAAGGATAGGTGCGCACTTCAAGATCCTCGGATAAAGCAGAAGTTCCCTCTTTGTTACCAATATCATACCAGATTGACTGTGGTGTCCGGCCATGGGCCCGTTTAGCAAACCAAATTGCATGGACCCAGTCAATAGAAACTTCGAAGCCATCTCCTTGGTCATGGATCAAAATTGTCGCACCATCCTCACTGTTGAAGCGACGGTCAATGTCAATCCGTTCCTCCTCACCCCATGATCCACCGAACTTGGCATTGAAAATGATTTGCCCTTGAGCTCGGCGAATAGAGATATGGAAAATGGTATCATTTTCTGCGTCCATGATCGAAATCTGGGTCATGTCAATGCCATTGTCAGGCTTGACAGGATCCACGCTTGACGACTCGAGAAGAATGACACTGTCTGCCTTGAGAGTCTGCTGAAACCGAAGAATGCCATGAAGTGGTAGGTTCGCTCTTGGCCGTTTCGGTCTGATTGGAGTTAGTGATCATGTTTTCATATGTATCGCTTAATTTGTAGAATTGGGAACCTACCGAGGAGCCGGTGGGTCAATCTTCGCCTGCTTCAGCTCTGGATCCAGCGCTCCATCAGCACCGCCAGTGATGGTAGGCTCTTTCTTGAAGTTTTCAAAGGCAGGGGGAGTAGCGGGGTTGGTGAAGTGCTTGGTGTCATTGCTGCTGCCAATGATTTCTAGCTCGAGCTTCTCAACCTCGTAGCGAGGCAATTCTTTCTCGTTCTGCAAAAGGTCAACGATTTTCGCAAAATGGGGGTGAGAGTCAATAGCCAGGTCTGCTTGCCTTGAATACTCGCCAGTATGCGCGCTTTCTTATGTACTCCAACACCTCGTCGCGAGTCAACGACTTCAGTTTCCGTCCACCCCTGATAAGCTTGTAGAGAACCGGGGTAATTGGGATGTAAGCAGTTGACTTGACGCGCGATTTTTGCCCTTCTGTGCAGTTCCCGCAGACCGAAGAACCATCTAACTCGGGCTTTTGGCTGAAATTGTACACTTCAGCGATCAAGTCTGTCAGTGGGGTTTGTATGCCGTCCTCTTGGGCGAGATACAGTTTGACCCAGAAAGGTTGCCCTCCCAATGCATATCTGAATTATTTCGAACAATTAGCTCTATTTTTATTCTGGCACAAGGAAACTTACTTCAAAAACCGAACACTGAAGGCGAAATCGGGAATTTTGAGCCCACCGTCAATTGCCTCGAGGCCCTCTGGGATTGGAGCTTTAGGGTCTAATGCCAAATCACGCGACACACCATATAATCTATTGATGATAGCGATGATGTTTTCCTTGAACAGAATTTGGTTAAGTGTTCCATCCTCCTGACGGTATCTAGTCTCCCATCGTAGCAGTTCCGGATAGGAGTATCCAAGATTGGAGGGAAACCTAATTCCTTCAGGGGTCCAATAGTTCCCCTCAGAATCACGCCTAAATGGCTGAAGAGGCGTGTTTCCATTCACGGGATGCTCTTTGCCAAATGAGTCACGGATGGTAGTATTGTCGGTAGGAATGTTATCCATCCACTTGTCCGGATTGAGAGCTTGCCAAATTGCAAAAAGACGGTCGATGTTGCTGCGGGGAATCATTTAATCAAAATTTCATTTCGAACTGGTCGAAGAGGGTATGCTTACCAGTGATGCAAGAAGAACAGCGGATCAAAAGAGGCAACTGGTACATTTCCCATATGTCCTGCAGAACCTGTCCAGCCGTGACTTTGAAACGCTATTGTTAAGGCGTGAAGTGACTGAGAATGCCATACAGCAGATGTAGACATGCAACTCTCCCTAGGATAACACTCTGGGGGTGGTGGAGTACATACACATTGTTGTGGATCTACTCAGGTGAACTGCCGGTCAGTTCTTATGCTGTGATATATCAAATCCATATACTCACATATTCTATATTCAAGTCCTCATCCACGTTTTGATCTTTCGAGGTTGGATTTGTGCTTGCAAAAGTAGTGTAATCCATGGGCACGGTGAGCAGTCGATATACCATTTCAGCTGCAGGACCATGATTCTTGTCGTTGTATCCTTCGTGAGAGTTGAAGGCATCTGCCACTTTGCGGTTATTGACTACACCGTGCCGCCAGCCCTCACTGTTTGGATTCTGGTCCTCTTCATCCGGCCAACGGCTAGTTCCGATTGCATTGCCGAACTGATTGAGTTAGCTCCTTCGTTTTCATGTTGCCTAGACCTCACATACGTTTTTATACTCCTCCTGTTCAGTGTCGTTTTCCCACGTGTTCTCAGTGCCAACGCCCTCACTTTGCATCGGCTTGTCTGTGGGCATGCGAAATTGAAACAGAGGATTGTTGATTCGAACCGATCCGCCTTCGGGTCTAGGAACGGTGATAGTAGGGTATTTTGCCAAGTCAGGCACACGGCCATTTCGTGCCCAGTCCCAGAAGGGAAGACGCCACGACTCGGCTTGTTCACGCCATGAAGACTGATGGGCTTCCTGGAATTGAGGGATAATCTCCTTGATCATGATATCATACACGACTTGCTAGAATGAAATCAGTACCTGGTTTATCTCAGATAAGAGGTTTTCCTACCTCAAAAAGGAGCACATATGGCCGGTGCCAAATTGGAAATATCACATGAGAGTGGAAGCAATAACCATTTTTCATGGGCTCTGGACTAGGATCATCCCATCTTACAAAGGGTTGTCCATGAATACCTTGTCAAATACATGTCAAACACTGTAAAAGGAAGGTCATGGATGAATACCTACCAGCCACTTGAAAGTAAGAGAGTCTTTCTTTGGGGTCCAACTTCTGAAAATTGTCCAGAGCTAGGATAAAAAGGTCTACTTGTTTTTTGTTTGACTTCTTGCCGCTCCATTCGTCGATATCCTGCCGAACAAAGACCTTGCGGTTGACGCCATCATCGGGATTGGATTCTTTGGTCGGAAACCGGGCTTGGATCTGGTAGTACTCGTGCACAGATAATTCAGATGCCATCTTGTCTGGTGTTGAAATGAATGAAATTGTTGAATCAATCCTTCGTTTGGAAGATCTTTTTCTTAATCGCCCGAAGAGGTGCATTCGTACTTATCAAGGAAAAGTTTACTTGGGGCACCGGGTGGAAGGAAGTGCTTTATATTATTCCCTTCGAGCCTTGCGAAGGTAGGACAACACACGTAGCGATTATTGATCTACATTGAATGAGACTTAGAAAAAATTGTCACACCAGCGAACATGCCGTCTTGTCACATTTTAACGCAAGCCTCGCAGCAGAGCGTCACCCTCAGCTTCAAGAATGCCAACGCCTGTTACCACTCCTAATACAGCGTGAGGAAATTATTGGCGACCAAACAATACAGGTATTCGCTCCCAGCCAAAATTCGCTGATTCCAGCCAACTTCACAATTTCCACTTATAGCCATAGGCAGCTGTGACCTCGACCCAGAGAGGGGGAGGACTTGATCGGGCTGGAGACCACCAATGAACTGTTGTACGAGATTTTAATTTGGTCTGCATATTGGCTTGGCAGTGGTGAGGATCTAGGGTTCATTGAATTGTTCCAGCTCTTCCAGCTAGCCACTCTAAGCTAGCCATGAGTGGTGTAATTCAACACATCAGCTGCGCCAGCTCCTGGCTATCGAATTAGTAGCGAATTTGGTTGGACTTTCATTGGACTTGGTCAAATTTGTTGGCTCATTGTTTGCGCCAGCCCCTCAGTGCTGCAGCTTGGGTTCTCGAGGCCGAGCGGTCTACATAATATTTGATTCTGCGTTTTCCTTTTTGCCTTCGATGAAAATTAAGAGAATAAGGGACAAGGGTAACTTGAATTTATATGTTTAGTCAACCACTTAGCAGCATGAATATAACTAGAGATGAGTTGATTGCTTCTACATTTTGATAATGCTTGGCTAGCCTACAAAAATTAAAAGGTGCAAGATGGGCACCAACTCATAGTAAAATATATACGGAGTACGGAGTACATGAGCCACCGCTGCAAGCTAGTATTGATATCATAATGCGAGACTTTGTACAAAGCGTTGGCTTATCCCCAATAATGGGAGACTAGAGTATTCTGAGGCTCATGGTCGTCACACAATGCCCTATCCTCGCGTCACCCCTATCTCTTCAGCAAAAGTCGCATCCCCTCAAGCGTAGAATTCGCATGCTCTAGACTTGGCAGAGGTCGTCGAATTTGAGGCTTTGTCTCACTAAAAATGATAGGGATTCGTGAATGATTGTCAGTATCAGTGTATGCAGAGTCAGTACTCTGATCTACCCTGACACTGACGCTTTGTGATGAAGACTGTACACCATATCCCTCGCAGTGGTTTGTTGGTGTAAGATCACTTCTTCTATCGTGTTCACAAGTCCATATGGCAACTCATTACCCTCTAAGGTAGCTAGACAGAATTTCGTCACCTTTGCGCTCGTGAATAGTTCAAGTATCTCTTTCTGTTCAGCCCAGTTCTGGACACGAGAGCTGCTGTCAACAAACCGCGGCTCGGTCGCCAACTCTGATAGATTCATCAATTGACAAAGAGTTTGAAACGGGCGGTTCTTCGTAGCGCCCAGAGCTAGGTGGCCGGCCTTTGTATTGGAAGCTTGATAAGGGACGATACTTGCATGCTTTGTACCACAGCGCCTCGCATGTTTGCCAACATTCAGCCACGAGATTGCCAAATTAGAAAAAAAAAAAAACAATACCTGGCTCTTAAACAAAGATGCATCAATTGCCTGGCCCCGACCTGTATCCCTGCGAGCATAAAGCGCGGCAAGAATTGCCCTGTGCAGATATAGACCGGTGCGCACATCGGTGAGACCGAGACCAGCCAGTGTTGGGGGTTCCATCGCGCCCGCCAGCGATATGTAGCATGCCTGCCTCAGCTGCGGCAATGGAATCGTAGCCTGCACGATGGGAACTAGCGCTGTATCCAATATTGAAGTCAAGAATCCTCACGATGCATGTGAATTAATGGGGATTGAAGACTGATCAGAGAATTTATCTCCTGTAGCTTTCCGTATCCAATATCCATATTCCTTTCCTGGAACAATTCTTTATACTTTGTGACAATTTAGTATGGGAAATTGTTAAGTTGAGAGTGGGTGGGATTACTGACACTGCATCACTATTTTCGACAAGCAAAGAAGAATATTCTAGCCGTTGTCTTGTCTAAGATTCAGGGTGATAGATAGCTTATTACGATTGATCGGACAAAGATATACAGACCTTCTTTGCCCGTCGTTTTCCAAATATGTTTCTCTGCTGCGTTCGCTACAAATGAGTGTCATCCTGTATACCTGGTGAGAATTAAATCTACCTAAATAGGACTGAAGAAAGATAGCTAGGGAGATACAATTCTTTTGGGATTGTCAACATCGAGAGCCTCAGCATCATAATCAGCGTGGATCTGGGTATAGAATGATCCCTCAGATATTTCGGGGATTGATTACTTCCAAATTTGTATGAATATCAGAAATTCACCGCGCGAACACGCGTCAGATCAAGAACTCAATCCCAGGAAAGAGACTATTGGTATGTGCTGAAGCGGAACTATAACGTCATTGAGAATGCTTTTTTAACTATGATACTGAATATATACAATCTTTGCAGTGCTCCAACACTTGTAAAGTCCTTAGGTACAGCCTTTGACTATAGTTCTAGACTTTTCTACTGTTCTAAAACAGAGCATTCGGGCATTGAGTCCCCTCTAAAACTGAGGTTGAGCTCTAATAACCATCCCGCATCACATTCTAGAGTCTATAACCCAGTTTGTACTTCAACGTGGCTAAATATCACGGAAGACTATGGAATTTTTGTTGTTGCCGTTTCTGCATGATCTGCATGATTCTTCTATTTGTAGGAATGCCGAAAATTTCTGTATGCAGGTTCACCAGGTCCAGGTTTATTGTTGCCAGCTATATAGGCTGCTATAATCTTCAATCAATCAATCAATCGATCAAAGTTCAATTAACCTGTTGCAGTCTAACTAGTTGCGTATGACTATGCAGGCGCTTCTTCCAACTGAAGCAAGAACTCGAGTCCTAACGCCAAGTCCCAGAGGAGTACAGATGTAGTAAAGAGTGTGGAATCATCTGCTATAATCTTAAGGACAACCCAACGAGGTTATTTACTCATTTTCGCTCATGTGTTTCAACTATACTTGCCATGTCTATGAATGCCCTGCTAATAGTGTGAATATAATACATGCTAACTATTAAAAGCCTTTCTATCGATGCCCATCACCATCGTTTACTCCCGAACCAGAACACCGCGGTATTTCATCTTTCCATCACGCAGAGTCTGCATAGCAGTCTCGACGCCATCTTTGGTCAAGGGGAAGGTCATGGTAGTCGGGGTAATTTTCTTATCGGCAGCGAACTGAACCAATGTGCGCAGACTCTTGCGCGACGCAACGAGCGAACCCTGGATACGGATGCCCTTGACATTCATGAACAGAAGGGGAACGGGTGAGGGAGTAAAGTCGACTGTCAGGGGGTAGATTGAGCCGTGCACATCCATAAGCGGGACGAGGCTGGTGTAGTCGACGTTGGCGCTGCCACAGAGCAGCAGATGGTTCACAGGCTTGAAGTCCTTGAGTTCCTCACCCTTACGGAATACATGGTACTCGGACGCGCCGAACCCGAAGGCCTCCGCACGCTTCGCCTCCGAGCTGGACAAAACAACGACGTGGCAGCCCATCGCCGCGGCGAGCTTGATGGCCAAGTGGCCCAGACCACCAATGCCCATGATGGCCACACGGTCCGTCGGCTTGACGCCGTACTCCGTCAGACAGGTCCAGACGGTGGCACCGGCACACATCAAGGGCGCGGCATCGGCGGAGTCATAGCCATCCGGGATAGGAACAACACATCCGGCGTCCCAGACGACGCCGCCGCTGAACGAGCCCAAGTCGTGGTCGTGTGAGCCGTATTCCTTCTTATTCTCGCAGTATTGGTCCCAGCCTGTTTACCATTAGAATGCTGTTGATCTTGCTTTGGGGTTGGGATACGTACCCGTCAAGCACTTGTCGCAGTTTCCACACACGTAATGCGTGTATCCGTATCCGACACGCGTTCCAACCTTGACATTAGTGACGTCACGGCCGAGTTGGCGAACGATACCCACACCCTCGTGGCCGAGAGCCATGCCGGAAGAGAGGTAGTGCTCATCTGTGCCGCAGAGACCGGAGTGTGTTGTCTCGATGTAGACCTCGTTAGGCTGTAGGGTGCGGGTGGTTTTGTCGGCCACGATTTTGCCCTCCTTAGAGCCACGGAAAACCTCAAAAGTGACGCTCATTATGATGATGTGTAAATGTGCTTTGCGACAGAATGAAGCAGTGTAGTGTGAGACAAGAGGACAGCACAGATGGCAGTCCTTTTAAATCAGATAGCATCTCCAAATTCCAAATTTTACTTTCTGGGATTTATCAGCTTCTGGTCCCTGTGCCGTTTCCCGTCAGTTCTCAACAGGGCAGTGCCAATGAAGTCTCTGCTAGATGTGGATCAAACGATGGCCAAACGCATTAGAGTTGCTCCAGAGGATTCTGCAGCACGTTGGGTAGATGCTAGTAGCCATTGAGCCTAATCACAGCCATTGCCGAGACTTCCGGTCGTCTTCTGGAAGGTCTGTGGAACTCGTCTGGGAATTTTATGCTAAGCTAAACCATAGAGGGTGATCCTCCGAGCAAAGTCTCCACTAAACCAGAGATTTGAGATGGCGGAAGCGGTGGAATTGCTCCGAAGTCAAAGCTTGTCGGAGACTTTTGACCTTTGGTCGGGCTTTTTCGGGATAGATATTATCATCAACATATTCTATTCAAATAATGGTTGATAACTGATACCTTGTTGGAATGACAGGGAATTTTATTAACCTTAAAAATTTGTCTGGATGGAAAACTCAGAGCTTAACCCTAAATTCCTCAGTGACGTCATATACATAGATCCTGCTTATGGGAATGTGGTCTTCACTATAAGAGCTATTACGTGCATAGCTAATT